GCCTATAGTTCTCCTTTTTGGAGGTGTCTTTGTCTGGTTTGGGGATAAGTGTAATACTGGCTTCATAAAATGTGTTAGGCAGTTTTCCTTCCCTTTCTATTTTGTGGAACAGTTTAGGGAGGGTTGGTATCAGTTCTTCTTTAAAAGTCTGATAGAATTCAGCTGAGAATCCATCAGGTCCTGGACTTTTCTTTTTGGGGAGACTCTTGATTGCTGCTTCAATTTCATTTTGTGTTACAGGTCTATTCAGGTGATAATATAAACTGAACTCTTGGTTCAGTTTTGGATGATCATATGTATCTAGAAATCTGTCCATTTCTTTAAGATTTTCAAATTTATTTGAATATAGGTTCTCGAAGTAGTCTCTGGTAATTTCCAGGACTTCCATGGTGTTTGTTATTATCTCCCCTTTTGCATTCCTGATTCTACAAATTTGGGTTTTTTCTCTCCTCATTTAGTCAGGTTTGCCAGTAGTCTGTCGATCTTGTTTATTTTTTTCAAAGAACCAACTTTTTGTTTCATTAACTCTTTGTATGGTTTTTTGGTTTCTATTTCATTGATTTCAGCTCTTATTTTTATTATTTCTCTCCTATTTGTTTTGTGATTTGCTTGTTATTGTTTTTCTAGGCGTTTGAGATGTATCAATAGGTCATTGATATGGGATCTTTCAGTCTTTTTAATATATGCACTCATGGCTATAAACTGTCCTCTCAGGACTGCCTTTGCTGTGTCCCATAGGTTCCGGTAGATTGTGTTTTCATCTTCATTGACTTCCAGGAACTTTTTAATTTTCTTTTCATTTTTCATTGACTTCCAGGAACTTTTTAATTTCCTCTTTTATTTTATCAATGACCCATTGTTCATTAAGTAATGAGTTATTCAGTTCCCAGCTGTTCGCATGTTTTTTTGTCTTTACGTTTGTGGTTGAGTTCTAGTTTAGTGCATCGTGATCAGATAGTATGCATGGTATAATTTCTATTTTCTTATATTTGCTGAGGTTTGCTTTGTGCCCTAGGATATGATCTATTTTGGAGAAGGTTCCATGGGCTGCTGAGAAGAATGTATATTGTGTAGAAGTTGGATGAAATGTTCTGTAGACATCAAGTAGGTCCATTTGATCTATTGTATATTTTAGATCTTGAATTTCTTTATTGACTTTTTGTTTGGATGACCTATCTATTGATGATAATGAGATGTTAAAGTCTCCCACAACCACTGTGTTGGAGTTAATAAAATATTTACCTTTAAAAATTTTCCTTCAGCCAAGATATAAAAAAAAAAAAAAAAAAGAAACAAAAACCTGGAGGTTGTGACCTTCAAAGTTGTTTTCATCTGAATGTTTTACAAGTTGGTGATATCACAAACAAACACAAACCACCTACCCTTTTCTGTGGGGGGGGGAGGGGAAGAGGAAGCTAGATTAAGTGGATGATTTTCTATGAACACACAAGTCACCAAACTAAACCCAGAATGAGATAGCCATCCTAAACAGACTGATATCCTAGAAGAAACTGTAATTGTTATCAAAGTACTAACTTAAAAAACAAAAAGCAGCTGGCTTTGTCAGTTTTATAGGGGAATTTTTTTACCAAATTTTATAGAAACAGACAATTTTGAAAATATTAAATTGGCTAACATAGAAAAAAGAAACTTTTCTTTTTTCCCCAAGGGATGAGCTCACTATATAGCCCAGGCTGGCCTCAAACTTGTAAGCTAAGTAAGCCTCCTGAGGAGCTGCAACTACAGGCTCATACCATCCCTCCTGGTCAGAGAAAACTTTCAATAAAGTTATAGAAAACACTAATACAACTAGATAAAGACAGTATCAAACATTTATTTGATCCCTAGCACTACCAAAATAATTTTTTTTTCAGCAAGGGCATTCTAATAAAATTTTTTGAAGAAGAAAATTGGAGACCAGCCTTACAAATGTTGGAAAATTTCTAAATATCAATAGGCTCTTGTTATATAATAACAGTTCATCCCAGGAATTATTTAACAATATAAAATCTATTACTCAACATATTAGCAGGTTCAGGGAGAAAATCTCTATAATAATAACATAGATGCTGAAATGGCACTGGAAAAAAAAAGTTCAGCAATCATATTTTTAATTAAAAAATAACATCAGCATCACGGCCCTTAGTGAAATAACTGAGATGACATTTAATGTCAAAAATACTAGAAGTATTCTCATTAGTCAGGAAGTAGTCAAAGGTACCAGTATCATCCCTTCTACTAAACTTTGTTTTGGAAATACCATGAAATCACAAAAGAAGTAAGTGACATAAAAATTGAAAAACAAGTCGGGTGCCCATGGATCACACCCATAATCCTAGATACTATGGAGGCAGAGATGAGGAGGACCTCGGTTCAATGCTAGCCTGGGCAAATACTCTGAGAGACTCTATCTTGAAAATATCCAACACAAAACAGGGCTGGTGGTGTAGCTCAAGTGCTAGAGTGCATACCTAGCAAGCATGAGGTTCTGAGTGCAAATCCCAGAACTGGAAAAAGAAAGACTTCTAAGATAATTTGGGAAATGTATATGTGAGCTAGAAGTTAGATATTATCTAATGATATTAATATTATATAATAAATTATTGATTTTGCTAACTATAACATCAGCATTCTATATATCTCAAAAAGTCCTTATTTGTTCAAAATACCCTATGAAGTATTTGTGAATAAGATCATTTGTTTTAAAATATTACTGTTTCCTACCCCCCCTTACAAACAATGGAGAGGAAGAGGAAGAATTCAAGATTTCCTAAGCAGTGAAAACTTGAAACTAAGAGACCTGAAGGATCATTACATTGCCTTCCCCACTTGTGTATATTTGGAAGCCAAGGAGCAACCACAGCAAGGAACTAAAACGAAATGTGAAGGAGGACCCAAACAGAGGAGAGCCATAAAAGACGGTAATTGCAAAAGTATACGATAGGTTTATACATGACACAAAAATGCCACCTAACAGTTAAGTAACGCAAAGAAAAGCTACAAATCAGATACCATTTTCTTTCATTGGACAAAGGTCAAAACATGGGAATATACAGTAACTGAGGGAGGCAACTTACACTGATAATAGGAGTACAAATCAGCACAACTTCTTTAGAGGGCAATTTGGCTTTACCTTTCAAAGTTATAAATACACCCCTTGGCCCAGCAATTCCATTTCTAGGAATTTATTCTGCAGATATTCATTGATTTGACAGGAATTTTCTGCCACTTACTATGTGATAGGCACTGGAGATAGAGATGGAGAAAGTAAGCTGTTCTCATGGCACTCCGTTGTTGTTGGAGAGGAGACACAGGTCAAGCAAGTCAGAAAGTATGCATGCAATTATGACAATTTTATCAGGTAAGTAATAAGTAAATAGGAATGGGCTGGTTAGGAAAGGCCTAAGTAAAGCACTAGAATGCTGGGGAAAAGGCAACAGAAAAGGAAGCCAAATGGTGACACACAAATTTAGCATTCTTTCCCTTTATTTTGCTTTTTATTTTCCTGACAGCCTTTTGTTCATCTAAAGGACGTGGACAACCCTTGAATGTTTCTTTCTCCCCTGACACAAAATGAAAAATTAATCAGGCCCTTTTAATCCCATGCATCCTTCAAGGAAGATGCCAGAGAAGACAGTACATAAAAATTTGATTTTTTTAAAGGAAGAGTTTTCCAACTTACTTAACTTTTATGCAAGCCTATTAATAAAAGTCTATCAAAGCTAATAAAGACTTTTTAATATGGGTAAATCTTTCTTAAGAGACAGCAAAGAGAAAAGATCAGTTTCACAAAAGACACTAATCAGTTGTTAATTTTACCCCGCATGCAAAAACCAAACTGTCAGTCCATGTCCTTTTAGCAGAATTGAGAACTGCTGACTTAAGACGCGTCTGTAGTTTAATTTCATGAACTTTTAAGCACTCAAGCCGAAGTTCTGATTTCTTTAGGGGCTCTTTGGATAAATACCTTACGCTTAAGTGGCCAGTGTCAATTAAGGGCATTTGGATTGGCCACAGAAGAAATGGCTGTTACACTAACACCTGAGGATATTATATACTAACTTCCTCAAACAATATCATGAACTATCAAGGTTTTCAAAGTGCCATGCATGATATGTTCTACAAACAACCAAGATAATTAAGGAACCAGCATGGAGGAAAAGAAATCTGTGCCTGTGAAAAATGCTCCTACTTATCTCAATTTTTAAATCAGCTTAACATAACCGCATTCTTTTTCCCAAAAGGAGAACGCAAAAAACCAAACTTCAGGATTCTATAACGATTCCCAATAACCAATTCATGTGTACAGATTTCAAGTGCCTCGAGTCACCTGCCCAGCCAACGACCGGTTTCCTCCCAACAGCTGAAGATGCGGTGCATCCTTGGACACCCTTGGGTCACCCTTAGCCATTTAACCCTTCCCCCAAAGGTCCAGCAGTCCTGAGCGATGCTTCGCTAACAATTACCCGAGAAGAACTACCAAAGTGAGAGACCAGGGTATCCATAAGCATCCAAACAAAGGGGCGCTGGCTAATGCGCTCAGTACCCGGGTCCAGTGCAAAGCGGGTCCGAGCGGTTCCCTGCACGTTGCACCTCTTACGTGCGGGGTGTCCGGGCGAGGGGGTACGCCTCTCCATCTGGCTATGCTACTCTCCCATGGTGGGTCATGACGTCCCCTGCCACCAAAGGAGTAGCCGCCGGGAAAGGGTAGGGGTGCAAGGCTGGGTTCGAAGCGCTGAGTGGGCAAGTGGAAGGCGCGAGGGCCAGAGTGGACCCCAGGCGAGTGAAGGGACTTAGGAGGGCAGGTGCCAGGGGAAAAGGACGAAGGCTGGGAGTTACTTGTAGGCCAGGCGAAAAGGGTCGAAGAGGACACCAGAGCTGCGCACAAGTGATGGGTGCTCCAGTAGGCAGCTAACTTGAGGCGAGGGGTGGCGGTGGGAGCTCGGGAGGTACCTGCGGGCCAGAAGAGGGACCCACACACCCTCTGCTTCGCGCCTCACCTGCCCAGTGTCCGCTTCATGCCCGGGTCCGCCGCGCACCGCGGCTCAGCCGACCCCTTGCCCGCCAGGCGCAGGTTTTGCTTCAGGCGGCAATCGGCGTCCAGCGCCGCGGCGGCCGAGCCGGAGGAGGACGAACCCGAAGCGGCGCAGCGCTCATGCTCCAAGGTGACGGGCTCAGTCCGCTTCCTCATCCCGTGGCCGACAGGACCAGCTGACCACGGAGCCCGATGGCCTCGCTCGCCTTTCCCTCGGCGCAGTCGCTACAGCTCACAGCCACTGCCGCCAGGAGCCGGGATCCCACCGCCCCTCACATCCCATCCCCAGGCCGCTGCGCCCGCTACAGACCAGCTCCTGGAGGGGAGGGGCAGATTGGCTGCGCCAGCCAATCAACGCCAAGTTTGAGCCGACCCAACCCTAACTCCGCCCCCTATCACCTCCTCCCAAATTCCGCGGGGAGTGCACCCAGCATCCCCAGCGCTGATCCTCAGCCATCTTGGGAAAGGGCGGACGAAGCTGTAGCTGTGCGTCATCGCCAGGGCAGAACTAAACTACCGGGTTTCGAAGCGCGGCCGATTAGGGTCGGGCAGTTTAGAGTTCCAGGGTATCCTTGGTCCCGATGCCAGTGTCGCCCGTAGACAAACCCAATCACGTCCCATTTCAGTAGTTCCAACGGTGAGAACACAGGGAAGACGTCTAGCCCGAAACAGGTCCTCCAACGAGCGCCACCGCACAAAGCCAGTTCCCTCCATTCCCATCCCAGGGCCTCTGGCTCTCCTAACACTGGATAACCCCCCAGAATACTGCCATTAGGGTTTTTAGGAGGTATTCTGCTCTAATGATTTATAGCTATTTTCTAACTAAGACTTTACCTTAAAATTATGCTTTCAAAGGTAGTTAATATTTAATTTGAAACATAGTTTTGTTTTTTTACTTTGGGCTGAATATATGAAAAACAAACAATTTACTCTTTGAAAACATGTATTAGAGTTTATTTATATTTGCGATACTGGGGCTTGAACTCAGGGCCTTCATCTTGAGCCACTCCACCAGCCCTGTTTTTGTGAAGGGTTTTTTGATATAGGGTCTCCTGGAACTATTTGCCAGGGCTGGCTTCCAACTGCAATTCTTCTGATCACTGCCTCCTGACTAGCTAGGATTACAGGCATGGGCCACTGCGGCCCAGCTCTAGAGTTTAGATTTTTAAAAATGATTAGAACTGGCAGATGTGAAGAAGTACGTTTCAAAGATAAATTTGCACTTGAGAAACCCAAATTAAAAACTAATTTCTATCCATCATAAGAAAAGGCAAAAAAAAGGGTAGTTTCATAAATTTGTTTTTAGCTTTGGCTTTCTTTAATATGGTGGCATTAATTTTACAAATGATCTACAACCAAGAGATATAGTTGTCTACTTATTTCAAAGTTACTTTTGTAATTTCAATATTTGTGTCAGTTTGAAAACTATTGGCCTTTAGAAATGTAATGGCTACTTATATTAGCTTTGTAATGATGTTTTGACATTTGTTGCAAAAGAATTTTTAGACCAAGTCATTAAGTATCACAACCTCATTCCTATTATTGTGGATATCTCCGTATTCACTTTTTTCTTACAGTACTGTAGATTTGGGGATCCAGAAAGTAAAGTGTGCTGAAAAAAGTTTTGATCTAGCAGTCATAAAGTCCTCTTTTATAGGAAAAAAAGAAAAAAAAAAAGCAGTGGGGCCTGGTAGGAGACATCTGTAATCACAGGTATTAAAAGGCTGAGGCAGGAGGATTGCAGCTTCCAGTCACAAGACCCTTTTTCAAATTTTTAAAAATTAAAAAATAAAATAAATAAAAAGAGCTAAGGGTACAGCTCAGTGGTAGGGGCTTGCATAGCACAGACAAGGTCCTACGTTGTATCCCCAACACTGGCAAAAAATAAAAAGCAAGTAAGAAAGGGAGAACTTGAAAGGAGAAAAAAAAAAAATATATATATATATATATATAAGGGGTATTGAATCTTTCTTGCTGGCACTAGACCTTGCCATATGATCTTCATCTTCTGGCTAGCTACGCTTTAAATACATTTCGATGCATATAAAGCCCACATTTGTATCTGTGGGTCACACCCTTTCCTGGAACCTCAATCTCTTTTATCTAAAAATCTACTCATCACTGATTTCTAACAAGCACCCACACTACTGTGTTCAAAGCTAAGCTTCCTAATCTTCTTCCATCCCAACTCTATCCATAAACCTCCCCTTCTGAAAAATGGCCACTCTGTCCTTGCACTTGCTCGGTCAAGATTCTGGGGCCATTCTTACTTCTGTGTGTGTGTGGTGTGTTTAAACTCAGGGCTTGCAAAGCAGGTGCTCTACTGCTTGAGCCACACCTTCAGTCCATTTTGCTCTGGTTATTTTGGAGATGGGGGGTCTCACCAGGCATTTGTCCAGGCTGGCCTCGAGCCATGATCCTCCCGATCTCAGCCTTCCAAGTAGCTAGGGTTACATGAGTGAGCCACAAGTCATCCATCCTTAATTTTTCCCTTTTTCTTCCACAGCATGCCTGCCATAAAGCTTTGCCAGCTACTCTTTCAAATCTCTCCAGGATCTCCATTTACCATCTCCACCATCCCCGCCCAGAGTCAAGCAGCCATCATTCCTTACCTGAACTATTTTCATAGCTTAAGTGATCTGCCACCTTCACTATTGTCTCACTTCTTACTTTTGTCACTGCCAGTCCCCTCCTCAGGACCTTTGCTCTTTTGATTTCTGCTACCTAAATTCTTTGGGGTGCTGTGACCCACACCCACAGGGTTACTCCCATCCCATTTGGGGCTGTGAGTTCTTTGAACACTTAACTCTTTCTCTTTTTCTTTTTCTTTTTTTTTTCATGGTACTGGGGCTTAAACTCAGGGCCTACACCTTGAGCCATTCCACCAGCCCTTTTTTGTGATGGGTTTTTTCAAGATAGGGTCTTGTGGACTACTTGCTCTGGGTTGGCTTTGAATCTCAGTCCTCCTGATCTCTGCCTCCTGAGTAGCTATGATTACAAGCATGAGCCTCTGGTGCCCACTGTGTTCATTCTCTTTAGTGCTTATCACCATTATATTTGATGTCCATATCTGTGTACTGATGTTTTCCCACACTGCAATGTAGACTCTAAAGAAAGGACCTTGTTTACTGCTTTATCTTCAGTGTCCTTCCTCATAATTGGCAATTCATAAATATTTGCTGAAGGAGAGACTGAATCATCACAACTCCTTAGGTTCACTATTGTCCCCATTTCACAAACAAGGAAGTAAGTCTCAAGATCCTTAGGGGACTTTGCCTCTGGAAATTGAAAAGGTATATGAGAAGGAAGGATTGTAATGCTTGTCTTTGGATCACAATCCTGCAGCAGAGTTCACTGAAGAATTGGATGTTTTATAAAAAACACTTAAATAAATTGCTTCCTTATTGGCTGAGTGCCAGTGCTTCATGCCTGTAATCCTAGTTACTCAGGAGGCAGAGATCAAGAGGGTCCAGGTTCAAAGCCAGCCTAGGTAAATAGTTCCCGAGACCCTATCTCAAAAATATCCAATACAAAAAAGAGCTGACACAGTGTCTCAAGTGGTAGAGGGCTTGCCTAGCAAGTGTGAGGTCCTAAGTTAAAACCCTACCCAGTATTTAAAAAGAAAAAAAAAGGATAAGCTCCAGAGGTTCATTTTCAAAGTAGGCCATTCCCTTGCTCATTTTTCAGATAATATATATAACTATTAGGTATATTTGCAAAAGAGCAACATAATTTCTAGGGTTAGCCAACAAGAAATCTAATACTACTTTTTTCTTTTATTTTAACTGGGGCGTATACCTTGAGCCATTCCACTAGCCCTTTTTTTGTGATGGGTTATTTCAAGATAGGGTCTCGTGAACTGTTTGCTCTGAACTGTTTGCTCTGGTTGGTGTTGAAACACGATTCTCCTGATCTCTGTGTCCTGAATAGCTAGGATTACAGGTGTGAGGCACTGGCGCCCTTCTCCAATATTACTTTTTAGAAATAAATACTGCTTTTCGAAAATTAGCCAAATAAAATGAGTTGTTTTTGTGTCAATGATCTCTTTTATATGGTTAGGAAATTTCCCATGATCATCTAGGCAAGAACTCGTGGGGGGGTTGTTTTTGTCTTTGAGACAGGGTTTTGTTATGTTGCTTAGGTTGGTTTCATACTCCTGGAGTTCAGTGATCCTCCTACCTCAACCTCCAGAGAGCTGTGTCTTCAGGTCCTTGCTAACATGCCCAGCCTTGAACTCCTGTTAATTTAGGACATTTTCCCCCTCTTATGTCTCAAATATTTTTAAATAACTGCTTTAAACTTAAAAGAGTGAAGCTGAATGTGGCGGTGAATGTTTGTAATCCCAGCATTTGGGAAGTGAGGCAGGAGTTGTTTAAGTTTGAGGCTGGCATGGGCTGCACAGTGAGTGCCTGTCTTAAAAAACAAGCAAACAAATGAAAGTCAGAGGACGACAGAGCTGAAAGTGCAAAACTTGGATGCATGCTCTACTCACTTTATGAGCTGTGTGACCTTGGGTAAGTTACCTAACTACTCTGTTGCCTCATCAGTATGAGTTTTAATAACCACCTATAGGAAAAATTGTGAGAATTAAATGAAATATGTATCACAGTTCTTATCGTAACAGGTATGTAAAAGCTGCTTTTGCTGAAAACCACTGATTCCTAACTTGGGCCCATAAATTAACTGAAGCAGGAGAAATAGCTTGGCATCGCTGACTCCATTTTGGATCTGTCTTTGCTCTGAGCCATTCATCTTGTAGCCATCTTGAAATCCAAGAACAGAACTGATTGATAACATCTTCACAAGGAGGGACAAAGGAAACTGCTTCCAAGGAGAGAATAGCAAAGCCTCCACAGGACAGACCACCTACTGGGCAACAATGACTTGCTTATCCTGACCAGATTGCTCCTCTCAGCAATCTCAACTTCTCCTGAACCCTTCCCAAACCAGGACTGAGATAATAACTAACCAGACCATAGCATGACTGGGACTGTTTAACTATGCATACATCTTACCCCTGCCCTCTTTTTCTATTTAAGCCAAAAGCTCAAGTCTGTTCCCTGAAGGTGGGCTCGAAGTACTTACTTTTCCTTTCCCTGCAGTGTGCCTGTGCCTCCTTTCTCTGGCCTTTGCTATTACTTGCTCTTTATTTGGTGTTGGGGCAAGTGGCCTGACCAGCCTTATGGAATCCAAGGAGTCTGGGCCCGGGGCCTAAAAAAACTCAGATTTTACTGCCACACAGGAGGTACCCAATAAAGATGGTTTCAATTTAACATTCAACAAACAACCTGCATTGCAAAACTGAAAGGAAATGCCACTCACAACCCTTCCGTGCTTTTTTTTTTTTTTTTTAAGGTACTGGGACTTGAACTCAGGGTCTTCACCTTGAGCCACTCCACCTTCGTGACAGGTATTTTCGAGATAGGGTCTTCTGAACTGTTTGCCTGGGCTGGCTTTGAACCGTGATCCTCCTGTTCTCTGCCTCCTGAGTAGCCTGGATTACAGGCACGAGCCACCGGCGCCCGGCTAGCCCTTCCATCTTAACTTGAAGGTACTGTTTGGAGCTTCAAGGAAAATGAATAAATCAAATGGAAAGCAGAAAAAGGAAGTTGAGCATGTATTTATCTCTGCTGCGCAGATGCCTGGCCAGCCGCCTGGGAAAACGCGTTTTTGCTTAGTTTAGGGGCTCAGGGGGAGGGTCACCGGCTCTGCCACTGACACCAGGGCATTACTGAGAAAAAATCACCACCTTCATCCCTCCCTGTAATACAGCTGCTCAGGGAAGGCAAATGTCCCTTTTCAGCTGCCATACGCAAGGTAAACCCCACAGCGCACTGCTATTGGCTGAGAGGTTTTGGCGCCAAAGCGCGGAGCGGAAGCAAAGAGCTGGAGCTGTGGGACGCCGAACAATAGGAGTGCGGCGGTCGAGAGCGCAACGACCGTTTGGCGTGAGACCTGGCGGTTAGCGGGACCCGAGGGCATCGCCATGTTTTGCGAAAAAGCCATGGAGCTGGTCCGTGAGTTGCACCGCGCGCCTGAAGGACAGCTGCCGGCTTTCAACGTGAGGGGGCGGGGGAGCAGGGGAAGGGCGTGTCGTGGGCGGGGCCTGGAGGCTCGGGGCGCGTGGTCTCGGGGGCCTGGGCTCTGGGGTGCGGCCTCGCCCGGCTGCTTCGCGGTTCTCTTTCGCATGAACCTGTGGGGTTCAGTTTTCCTACCTTGTCAGCTCTGTCCGAGGTCGGGAACAAATATCCGGAATTCGGCAGAACAAAACATAGGAGGAAAAAGAAAGCGCTCATGTTTATATTACCCACCGATTTGGTGACTTTCTCACTTGAGCCTACTTCTCTGTAGTTTTGTCGCAGTTCTGTGTCTGACGAAACATTGTCGCCTCCTCAGGCAGCGAGGGTGGCCCGCAGGGCTGGGCGTGTGACTGGGGGGTAGATCGCCCTTCCTAGCACGAGGTGGGGGAGGGCAATGCAACGCTTCTGGAACACGCCTGGAACGCTGAGTTTAAGGCCGCTACAAGCTTTGCGTGCACATACGCAAAAACAGGGTGATGGTAGTACCCGGCTCGTGGTGCAGTGAGGACTAAGTAAAGCGCATTGTGCGAGGGCGGCTGAACAACGCCTGGCATTTTATTTGTACTAGGATTGCTGGTACTGTTTTGCAAACACGATGATTCTTATTTTTCTGTTACTGTCACTCCAGGCAGGGTGCCAAGCAGTTGACCTGTAATTATCTTTTGTCGTCATAATAAACCCTTGAAGTTTCAACTTTTCCATTTCCCAGCTATATATGCAGAGGCCTGGGAGATTAAGTATCTTACTAAGGTGTCATAGCAAGTAAGAAGCAAAACAAGGATGTGAACCCTGGCCCTCCAGCCTGCGCTCTACATCCTGCACGTGACTACCACTGTCACAGGGTAGCCAACTGCGTGGATGCTAGGACACATTCTGCTGGGAGAGGGACACAAACAAAGGTGATAGAGCGCAGTGTAAGAAGTGATTCCAAAGAGATGTAGACAAGGAGCACAAAAGAGAAACATAAACATAAGCTGGGGTAGAGGAGAGTACCTTTGGCCATGCCATCCTCAAGGTCACACTGAGAAAAGAGTGAGGCATTCTAGCATTACAACGACATGGCCACACTGGAAAGGGGGACTGACAGGGCATGTAAAGATGGGTTCTCAGCCTTGAAGAGTTGCCTGTTGGACTGGCAGAGTGGCTCAAGTGGTAGAGTGCTTGCCTAGCAAGCGTGAGGCCCTGAGTTCAAACCCCAGTACCACCAAAAAATTAAAAATTACATGTTCATTCATAAGGTGTTTTGGAAGCTGCTAGAGGATTTTGGACAGGGGAATGAGTACTTTCTGTCTTTTGTGGGTAACTATGAAGATTGTTGAAGATTGTGGGTAACTATGAAGAACAGATTGAAGATAAGTTAGAGTGGGAGCAAGGAGATGATTCCTGGGTGGTTATAACAGACCAAGTAGGAAATGTGTATGCTCCAAACGGCCAGGCCAGTGACACCAAACTCGGTGTCTGGGTTTTACTCGAGGGTTTTACAGGACCTGTAACTGTTAAAATAGAGACAGAGGTGGGGTGGATAATGAATGGGAGGGGAGATCCAGGGCAGATTCTTGGGCAACTGAATCAGCAACATCAGAAGTCCTTTTGGGGGAAGGTGATGAGTCCTGTCTTGAATAGAGAGAGCACCTAGATGGACAATTAGAACATTTTACAAATGAGGAAACTGAGCCAAGAGAAGTTATGGTTCAAGTTAAAGGACTTGTTTGAACTTACAGCCTATTGGAGGCAGAGCCACAACTTTAACACAAGTTTCTGAGATCAGTCTCTTCTTTCACTTCCAGAATGGTTACCCCATTTAAAAAGTTAGGAGACAGGTATGATGCTCAGCAGATATACCTGAAAGAAGGAATATGTAGGCTGTAAAATATGGCTTCACACTAGGGTCACAGTACTAGGAACTTTAGAGATCGTCATACATATGAGGAAACAGGCCCAAAGAGGCAGAGAGATTTGTCCATTTACATACTAGCCAGTTGGCCTTGAAACCTGGCTCTTCAGACCCTTAATCTAGCTGTTCTTATTCAAATTTTACACGAAGTGTTAGTTTACCACTTCTGGGGGGCCAGAGTCTCAGAAGTTATAAAATCACTGTCTTCAAGCTTTTAGTCTATTGGAGTATCTTTTGTACATTTTGTCTCATTAGTGCCTTCTACTGACAACCCACTGCTAAGCAGGTGACTTCAGCCTGGAAAACTGAGCCTGCCAGGCTGGTTGAACACAGCTGAGCAGGGGAAGACAGCAGCTGATCTGAGAGGCAATAGGCTTTCAAGACTCACTTCTCCTAGAAGGGTAACAGCAAAGCTTGAGAACCGGGCCTCTTCCTTGTTCACCCCAGGATCACTTGTGAGGCCCTGAGTTCAAACCCCGGTACTTGAAAAAAAAAATCACGGAAAGGTCTATTTTTGTAAGAATTCAGTTAAATATTCCTTTTATCAGCAATGTGTGTGTGTATGCGGTACTAGGGTTTGAACTTGGGGCTTACACGTTGAGTGACTTCACTCCTTTTTTTGTGATGGTTTTTTTTGAGGTAGGGTCTCCTGAAATACTTGCCCGAATTGGCTTCGAATCTTGATCCTCCTGATCTCTGTCTCCTGAGTAGCTAGGATTATAGGTATGAGCTACTGGCGCCCAGCAGGAAATGTTATTTTAAAGAATAGTTAAAACTCTTATAAAATTAATAGACCTACAAGTATACAGAAGCCAAATATGAAATAATTATAGAAAATATATGCAAGCTTTCAGACTTAGATTTTTATCCATAGTGGAAATTACATTCGTTCTGTGCTCTCCTCAAATGTAAACTCCTGACAGCCCAAAATAATTTTCTTAAAAACACTTTTGTTTGTGTTGGGTTTCTTTGAGATATGGTCTCATGAACTATTTGCCTGGGCTGGCTTCAAACCCTGATCTTCCTGATCTCTGCCTCCCCAGTAGCTAGGATTTCAGGTGTGAGCCACCAGCACTCAGAATCCACGATTTTTTAAAAATAAAAACAATCACACAGCATTTATTGTCATCTGATAAGAACATAAGGTTCATCAAAACTGTTTGCAGATGGGTGCCAGTGGCTCACGCCTGTAATGCTAGCTACTTGGAGGCTGAAATCAGGAGGATCACTCTTTGAGGGTAGCCAAGGCAAATAGCTCACAAGACTCCAAAATAACCAGAGCAAAATGGGCTAGAGGTGTGGCTCAAGTGGTGGAGCACTAGCTTTGCAAGCACATAGCACCAAGTTCTAACCCTATTCCACCAAAACAAAACAAAAAATAGCAAACAAACAAACAAAAAAAACTGGTATGCACAATAAGGTCTCAACAGTAGGGCTCATCAAAACAACATGAACAGATTATTTTAGAACTAAACTCCTAACAAAGAACATTCAAAAAAGCCCCACCACAGCTGCATAGGATTCTTTTCACTTCACTATTGTTTCCAATTGGAAACACTTTGTAGCAAAGTAGTATTTCCTTTTAGCATGATCAGACCCAGTTGTTTTCTTGACTTTGTTTTAGAATAAATTTCTTTTGCAGCATCTATCATGAGGTTAATGTACTCATCAAAACCAATATGCCTGCATATTTGCTTGCTCATAGAACCACGCCTGAATTGGAGATGTATTTTATGTATCTGAAGATGAAGTCAATGGTTCTTGCACCTTTTGGCGCTGGCCCAGGACACCATTAACAGAGTCTCCTCCATGATTTTTTTTTAACCTGATGAGGAAAGGGAAGATGAAATCTTACATTTTACCTCAGTAATTATATCAAATTAAATAGTTCATTTTCCAATTGTATCAGTAGTGTACCAAAACTTTTTTTCTTTTTTTTTTTTTTTTTTTTTTTTGCTGTGGTGGAGATCTTGCCAGATCACAGAGCACATGCTAGACAAGTGCTCTACCACTGAGCTACAGCTCCAAGTCCAAAACATTTTTGCTAGTGCATAGATTTTGGCCCTAAAGACAGATTGAGGAAAGTAGATAACTTCTCTATTGATTGTTAACAGACATTATGCAGCATTAATGTTTTATCTTCCCAAGAGAATTTTTTAAAAAATTTGTTCTAAAGTGGATAGTAGGAAATCTCCTTTGGCCTTTCTTGTCTTGCAATATAAACAAAGCATTTTTTGTCCGGTGTGGTGGTTCCATGCCTATGATCCCAGCTATTTGGTAGGCAGAGAGATCAGGAGGATTGAGGTTCAAGGCCAGCCCAGGCAAAAAGTTAGTGAGACCCTCCCCCCCCCCCGCCCCACCCCATCTCCAGCAATAAGCCAGAAGTGGTGGTACACATCTGAAATCTCAGCTACATGGGAGGCTTTAGGTAGGATTGGATCTGAAGCCTGCCTCGGACAAATAAATACATGAGCCCCTACCCAAAAAATAACTAAAGTGAAAAAGAAATGGGGGTATGACTCAAGTGGTAGAGCACCTTCCTAGCAAGTTGAGGCCCTGAGTTCAAACCCTAGTACTGCTTTGGTGGTAAAATATACATAATATAAAGTTTGCCATTTTACCCATTTTTAAGTGGTGTTAATTACATTCACATTGTTGTCAAACCATCATACTCTATTTCCCAAACCTTTTCGTCACCACAAATAAACTCTGTCACCATTAAGTAATAACTTCCCATTCCTCTTTTGCCTGTAGCCCTGATAACCTCTGGACTGCTTTCTGTCTCTAGGAGTTGGCTTGTGCTAGATATTTCAGATAAGTGGAATCGTAAGTCTCATTTAACATAAAGGTTTCAAGATTCATCCATGTTCTGTCAGTACTTGGTTCTTTTTTTTTTGGAGGTACTGGAGTTTGAACTCAGAGCCTCATGTTTACTAGGCTGCCTCTCTACCACTTGAGCCACTTCACCAGCCTTTTTTTTGTGATGGGTTTTTTTTTTTAAGAGAGGGTATCTTGCACTATTTGCTCAGGCTGTCTTGGAACCATGATCCTCCTGATCTCTGCCTCCTGAATAGCTAGGATTACAGGAGTGAGCACCAGCACCTACTTGTACTTCATTCTCATGTTCAAGTGATATTCCATTGAATAGATTTGCCATGTTTGGTTTATCCATCCATCAACTAATAAACTTTTGGGTTTTTTCCTCTTTTTTTTTTGGTGGTACTGGGGTTTAAATTCAGGGCCTTGTGCTTGTGAAGCAGGTGTTCTACCACTTGAGCCATGCTTCCAGTCTTCCAGCATTTTTTTCAGACAGGGGTTTGCTATGTAGCCTAGCTGTAGATTGGACTGGCACTGAACTCGAGATCCTCCTGCCTCAGCCCTGTGTCATTTTTGCTCCTTTTTGACTATTATGAACAATGCTGCTAAGAACATTTTTGTACAAGTTTTTGTATGAACATCTGTTTTCACACAAAATACATGTCTAAGAGTAGAATTAGGTATACACATAGGAGTGGAATTGCTGGATCATATGGTAATTTTTTGTTTAACTTTTTGAGGAATTGTTGAGTTGCTTTGTACAGGGCTCTTCCATCTTACATTCCTTACCAACACTTACTATAGCCATTGTAGTGGTATAAAAGGGGTACTGCTTTTTGTTAAGGCATACAAATCAAGGATATAATATATATTGAATATTGCCACTGAATCTGTAGGGAAAATAAATGAATGTATACCGATATCAGCTTATTTGTTTTAGGAAGATGGAATCAGACAAGTTCTGGAGGAGATGAAAGCTTTATATGAACAAAACCAGTCTGATGTGTAAGTTTTAATAACATTGATATTTTAAAATAATACAAGAAATAAGATGTGGAGGCCATCATTGTTACTAGTTTCTGATTAAAATTATTTGTGAATAATTTATTCATGTGTTAATTAATTAACATATTTTTTGTGGTACTATGGATTGAACCTGGGACCTGCCAAGACTAAGCAAGTACTCCACCGCTTGACTTATGTCCCCAGTCCTTTTGTTTGTATTTTGTTTTTGAGCTAGGTCTCGCTAACTTTTCCAGACTGACCTTGAAACTTGAGATCCCCTTGCCATCTCCCAAGTATCTGGGATTACAGATGTGCCCCACCATGCTGAAGCAAGTGTGAATTTTTAAAAGAAGTCCTTATGTACTTCATACAGCACTCTGATGTTAAGTCAGGTTAATTAGTTAATTAATTAATTTTTTGAGACAGGGTCTTGCTATGTATCCCAGGCTGAACTGGAACTCACAATCATCCTGCTTCAACCTCCTGAGTACTAAGAGTATGGTCATGCCTGACTAGTCAGGTGTATTTTATTTGTACTCTTTTCTTATAATCCAGAGCAATCATAAGCAATTGTAAGGAATGTGGTGAATAAATCTGACTTTCACAGGATGGCAGAAGTGTGTAGAATAGATCTTGAAGGCCAATGTGTAGCTTAGTGGTGTAGGGAGATTGCTTAGCTTATGTGAGGCCCTGGGTTTGATCTCCAGCACCACAAAAAACAAAGCAAAGCAAGAACTGGCGTGTGGCTCAAGTAGTAGAGCACTTGCCTAGCAAGCACAAAGCTCCAACCTCAGTACCACAAAAAACAAAACAAAACTACACAAATGAGTCATTTCTTATTTATCTGGTTCCTTCAAAACTCCAAAGTAGATTTTGTACCCATGTGTAAAATATAGTACTTAGCTGCCATCTAAGGAGATGTTCTTTTTATAGGGTAAAACCAAAATTTTGTCTCTTTTGTGTGAAGAATTAATGTACATGCACATAGTTAAAGAGCACCCAATAATTGTTAGAGGAATGAAGGACTATTTTGGCTCCATTTTAACTTAATTATGAGGATTTGAAAGAACCTCTGAAAGGGAAGGACTACGTCAAAAAAGAAGTGACATGATACCATAATCATGGATAATGTTAGGTTATCATGGATAATGTTAGGTTATTGTCTCCAATAAATTAGTAAACTTGATGTTTGTCTCTTAGACCTGATTGAGATTAAGCAGTGTGCAAAAATACTAAATACCACATGTACCTGATGGTATGACCTTAGGCAAGTTATTTCACTCCTGGCTTTTTATCTTTTAGCATATTAATAGGAGTACTGATACGGAGATTGTTACTCTTTGCTTTGGTTAGCTGCTTCAATCATAAATGGACAAAAACAAGTATGTAAGTCAGTAGTTGTTGGCTTTGAAATGTTTACTCACACTGGAATGTACATATTTGGTTTTTGCTCTAAATGCTCTTACCAGGAATGAAGCAAAGTCAGGTGGACGAGGTGATTTGATACCAACCATCAAATTTCGGCACTGTTCTTTGTTAAGAAACCGACGCTGCACTCTAGCCTACCTGTGAGTTTCTCAGTTTTTGCTTGGGGTGACAGGGAACCTGAGATGTTTTTTGGTGTAGTTTGGTTTCCCAGATAACCTTTTCAAATGGTAGCAGGAAATCTTAGATTTGTCTCTCTCTTCATAAGCATTCTAAATTCTTTTTTCCATTTTAAAACTTTTTATCATGAAAACTGCAATATCCATAAAAGGAGGAAGAATAGTATAATGAACCTATGGTGCTATCACATCCCCTTAGATCTTTTAATGCTTTGTAATATTTACTTCATTGTGTTTTAATCTTTCTTTTTTGGTGGTGCTGGGGTTTGAAATCAGGGCCTCACGCTTGCTAGGCAGCTGCTCTACCATTTGAGCTACTCCGCCAGTCCTACTTCATTGTGTTTTGTTTGCTTACACTATTCTATTTTAGAATTTCACCACTGAATATTTTAGGACCTTTAATATATTTTTTATTTCTCTAAGAAACAAAGACCTCTAGTCCTTTCGTAACCACTGTCTATTGTCACACTTGGAGAAGTGGACAATGCCTTCATGGAATTGGTCCTGTCCACATGTGTGCTCCCTCCATTGTCCCAAAGATGTTTTCTCATAATTGGTTTGTCTCTATCAGGAGACAAATAAAGACCACATATTCCAATTAGGTTGTTGTGGCTTGAGTTGCTCCTCATCAAAATGACTTCTTTTCTTTCTCTTTGATGGTACTGGGGTTTGAACTCAGGGCCTCACACTTGCTAGGCAAGCACTCTATCACTTGAGCCACTCTGCCAGCTCTTTTTTGTGATGGGTTTTTTTCAAGATAGGGTCTCATGAACTATTTCCCCGGGCCAGGCTTCGAACCACAATCCTCTTGATCTCTGCCTCCCGAGTAGCTAGGATTATAGGCGTGAGCCACTAGCACCCAGCCAGAAAGACTTCTGATCCCCCTTTTATTCTTATGCCACTTAATCCCTTCCTCATATCTAGGTATGACCGGTTGCTTAGAATCAGAGCTCTCAGGTGGGAATATGGCAGCGTCTTACCAAACACGTTACGATTTCACATGTCTGCTGCAGAGGTAAGTTATTACTGTTCAAGTTTATGAAAATGGCTGAGGTTCTGGCATTGTTCTCTAATAGTATTTATATTTCTCTTTCTGTTTTTAACATCTGTTCGTTAGCACTTTCTGACCTGAATTTATCTTGTATATACTGTGATAGTAAGTAGGGAATGTGATAAGTAATATTTCTAAATGCTACATGGAACTCTGTCTTATAGAGAGTCCTATTATATTTAGCCATTAATGTTTGGATGTTTTCCGTATGTACATTTCCATAAAATGTGTATACATACACATACACTGTAATAACATTCCAAATTCATATGAGTAATGAAACCCTTGCTTTTTCCAGTCACTGAGGTACAGAACTAGCCCAATATTTAAGCACATAGTCTTGGGAGGCAGAGATGGGAAGGATTACGTTCAAACAAAAACGTATTAAAAAAAAAAATCTGAGTGTTGGTGGTGCAGGCCTCTCATACCAGCTACACAGGAAACATAAATAAAAGGATCACAGTCCACGCCAGCCCAGGCATAATATTACCTACCTATTACAATGACTTCTGAGTTAGATCATACTTCACAGGTTAAATGCACAGTCTTCTGCAAAACTACCCTTACTTCAGACATGTCCTGAGGGCCCACTACCCTCTGGGGTTCCATAATTCTCCAGAGTGATTCACAGAACTCAGCAAAGTGCTATACTTAAAACTTCAGTGTCCTAGTGCAAAAAGGATACAAATCAGAACCAGCCAAAAGAAGAGGCTCATAGAGTCACAGCTGACAGGATCCTATACCCAAGGCTTCTGGTGTCTTCTCTCCATGGAATCAGGACTTAGTGCCCTCTAGACATGTTCATGAGTAATAACAGTACACAGGAACATTGTCAACCATGGGCTTTACCCACTAGATGCCAGTAGCTGTCCTTCCCCCAAAGTATGAGTCCCAGAATGTGTCCCCTTGGCATTTAGGACCCTTGGTGTGGTGTGATGTCTCTGTGTTTTCACATATCTTGTGGTTTTCCAGAGGTTTGCACCCTCCACGTTCCCATGGCAGAGTGCAGCGTGTTGCTCCATGTCTGCCTCTGCGTGCTTAGCTCACTGAGGAACAAAGCCAAGTACACTTGTATGTGTTTACTGATTGTTTCCATTTCTGTTGTGTAATGTGTGCTCAAGTCTGTTCATAGTCAATTGTCAGTTGATGGGCGTTTGGATCTTAGTAGGATTTATTTCTATATTTTGGCTAGTTGTTTTTTTTTTTTTGCCATACTTTGATTGGTGTTTGAACTCAGGTCTTCATGCTTGCTAGGCGGACACTATACTGTTAGAGTCACACCTCTAGCCTTTGGTTATTTTTGTTTGATTGGTTTTTTTGTTTCTGTTTTTTTGCAATTGAAGAAATCACTGTCTATTCCAAGGTTATTAAGACATTTTTCTTTGGCAGTACTGGGGTTTGAACTCAGGCCCTCATGCTAGCAAGGCAGGCACTTTCCTGTTTGAACCACTCCAATAGCCCTTTTTTGTGATGGAGTTTTTCCAAATATGGTCTTGCGAACTATCTGCGTGGGCTTGCGTGGAACTGAGATCCTCCTTATCTTTGCCTCCTGAGTAGCTAGGATCACAGTCGTAAGTTACTGGTGCTCGGCTCTGTATAATCTTTTAGGAGCTACATTTTACCTTTCGTAAAGAGATCTGCAGTACTAGGATGACTTTTGTGTGTAATGTAGGAGCCCAGTTTCACTTTGGATGTGGGCATTGAGAAGATCCTCCTGTCTTCACCTGCTCTGTGCATGGTGCCACCTTTGTCATGAATTGAGTGTCCATATATTGGTGGACTGGGGCTGGGAGAGATCTTTCTCTTCTGTTCCATTAGTCTAATTGTCTTTGCAGTAATTCGCTGTTGTAATTACCGTAACTCCCTAATATGTGCTGAGCAATAGTCCCATTTTATTCTTCTTTTTCAAATGTTTAGACTGTTTTTTGTCCTTTGCACTTTCATGTACATTGTAGGCTGTATTTGTCAAGTTTAAAGTTAAGGTTTGACTGAGATTGAATTGAATCTATAAGTCAGTTGACATTATTACAATGTTGTATCCTTCAATCTGCGCATGTGGTATAATCCTTCTATATATTTAGGCTTTCTTTGATTTCTCTCTGCAGTTTTTTTTTTTTTTTAAATAACTGGGGCTAGGAGGGTAGCTTGGTGATAGAGCATTCAATTCCCCAGCACCACAAAAAACAGATTTACTGAGATATAATTCACATGCCATAAAGTTTGCCATTATAGAGAGCTAGATAGATATGGTGCTAGGGTTTGAACTCAGAGCTTCATTTTTTCTGATGGGTTTTTTAAAGATAGGGTCTTGCAAACTGTTTGCGCAGGCTGGAATCAAACCTTGATTCTCCTATTCTCTGCTTTCTGAGTAGCTAGAACTACAGGTGTGTGACACTGTTGACCGGCAGTTTACCATTTTAAAATGTATACTTCAGTGATTTTCAGTATATTTGCGAACTGTGCTTCCATTACTGCCATCTTTTTCGAGGACATTTTTCTGCTCCTAAAAAAGAAGCCCTGTATCCTTTATCGGTTACTTCATCGTCTCTCTCTTCCTCCCAGCCCCTGGTAATCACTAATCTACTTTCTGTCTCTATAGATTTCCTATTATGTGTTTTTTCATATGGGTAGAATTAAGCAGCATGTGACCTTTCATCTCTTTCACTTAGCATAACTTCATGGTTCATGCATGTGGTCACACATATCAGTATTTCTCCCTATGGCTGAATAATGTTCCATTGTATGGATGTACATATCCATTTATCAGTTGATGGGCAGTGGGTTGTCTTCTCAAAAATAAAGTTTTCAGAAGTGGCATCAATGCTATTTTATAATTATTTTATAATTGTGAAGCAGTGTCTTTTTCATAGTTCTGTTTCTGGTTGAGTGTTCCTTAGGTTTATGATGAAGTATGCTGGAATTTTTTATGCATTGTGAGAGCAGAGACTTTTCTTCATTTTATTGAACAAAACAAACACTGTACTCAGAACAATGCCTGGACCGTAGAAGGTAATCAGTTATATTTGTAGTGTACGTGGATAATGGTCACAGTCATGCTCCATGTTGGGATGTGTGTTGATTTTAAAAGGAGTAGGCAGTTTGTGCACATTCTCATATAACTTTGTCCAATGACCATCCTTATACTTGCAGATGGAGTGGTTCAATCATTATAAAAAGACCCTTGCTACTTACATGAGGTCACTGGGAGGAGATGAAGGTTTGGACATCACACAGGATATGAAGCCTCCGAAAAGTCTCTATATTGAAGTATGTACACCTTTGATGCGTCCACTGTGCTACTGTTTATCTATACGAATGTCTATTAGTTTTTATTAAAAAGGAAAGGAAGTCTAAACAAGAACCAAGTGACCGGTAGGGGCATGGTAGGAGTAGGATTGAACAGCTAAAATTTAATGAATATGATTCTTTTTTTTTTTTTTTTGTGGTACCGGTATTTGAACTCAAGGCCTATACCTGTAGCTCTCCACCAGCACTTTTTTGTGTTGGGTATTTTCTTTTTTTTTTTTTTTCCTTTTTCTTTTATTATTCATATGTGCATACAAGGCTTAGTTAATTTCTCCCCCCTGCCCCCACCCCCTCCCTTACAACCCACTCCGCCCCCTTCCTCTCCCCCCACCAATACCCAGCAGAAACTATTTTGCCCTTATTTCTAATTTTGTTGTAGAGAGAGTATAAGCAATAATAGGAAGGAACAAGGGTTTTTGCTGGTTGAGATAAGGATAGCTATACAGGGCATTGACTCACATTGATTGGTGCGTGGGTGTTACCTTCTAGGTTAATTCTTTTGATCTAACCTTTTCTCTAGTTCCTGGTTCCCCTTTTCCTATTGGCCTCAGTTGCTTTTAAGGTATCTGCTTTAGTTTCTCTGCATTAAGGGCAACAAATGCTAGTAATTTTTTAGGTGTCTTACCTATCTCACCCCTCCTTGTGTGCTCTCGCTTTTATCATGTGCTCAAAGTCCAATCCCTTGTTGTGTTTGCCCTTGATCTAATGTCCACATATGAGGGAGAACATATGATTTTTGGTCTTTTGGGCCAGGCTAACCTCACTCAGAATGATGTTCTCCAATTCCATCCATTTACCAGCGAATGATAACATTTCGTTCTTCTTCATGGCTGCATAAAATTCCATTGTGTATAGATACCACATTTTCTTAATCCATTCGTCAGTGGTGGGGCATCTTGGCTGTTTCCATAACTTGGCTATTGTGAATAGTGCCGCAATAAACATGGGTGTGCAGGTGCCTCTGGAGTAACAGTCTTTTGGGTGTATCCCCCAAGAGTGGTATTACTGGATCAAATGGTAGATCCATGTCTAGCTTTTTAAGTAGCCTCCAAATTTTTTTTCCAGAGTGGTTGTACTAGTCTACATTCCCACCAACAGTGTAAGAGGGTTCCTTTTTCCCCTGCATCCTCGCCAACACCTGTTGTTGGTGGTGTTGCTGATGATGGCTATTCTAACAGGGGTGAGGTGGAATCTTAGCGTGGTTTTAATTTGCATTTCCTTTATTGCTAGAGATGGTGAGCATTTTTTCATGTGTTTTCTGGCCATTTGAATTTCTTCTTTTGAGAAAGTTCTGTTTAGTTCACTTGCCCATTTCTTTATTGGTTCATTAGTTTTGGGAGAATTTAGTTTTTTAAGTTCCCTATATATTCTGGTTATCAGTCCTTTGTCTGATGTATAGTTGGCAAATATTTTCTCCCACTCTGTGGGTGTTCTCTTCAGTTTAGAGACCATTTCTTTTGATGAACAGAAGCTTTTTAGCTTATGAGGTCCCATTTATCTATGCTATCTCTTAGTTGCTGTGCTGCTGGGTTTTCATTGAGAAAGTTCTTACCTATACCTACTAACTCAGAGTATTTTCCTACTCTTCTTGTATCAACTTAAGAGTTTGGGGTCTGATATTAAGATCCTTGATCCATTTTGAGTTAATCTGGTACAGGGTGATACATGGATCTAGTTTCAGTTTTTTGCAGACTATACATGGATCTAGTTTCAGTTTTTTGCAGACTGCTAACCAGTTTTCCCAACAGTTTTTGTTGAAGAGGCTGCCTATTTCTCCATCGTATTTGTTACTCCTTTGTCAAAGATAAGTTGGTTATAGTTGTGTGCTTCATATCTGGGTCCTCTATTCTGTTCCACTGGTCTTCATGTCTGTTTTTGTGCCAGTACCATGCTGTTTTTATTGTTATTGCTTTGTAATATAGTTTGAAGTCAGGTATTGTGATACCTCCAGCATTGTTCTTTTGACTGAGTATTGCCTTGGCTATTCGTGGCCTCTTGTGTTTCCATATAAATTTAACAGTAGATTTTTCAATCTCTTTAATGAATGTCATTGGAATTTTGATGGGAATTTTGCATTAAACATGTAGACATTTTTACTATTATTTTGGGAGTGGAGATCACGACATTTTTACTATGTTGATTCTACCAATCCATGAGCATGGGAGATCTCTCCACTTTCTATAGTCTTCCTCAATCTCTTTCTTCAGAAGTGTATAACTTTCCTTGTAGAGGTCTTTCACATCTTTTGTTAGGTTTACACCTAGGTATTTTAATTAATAGTTCTTGAGTTTTTCCTTTAATTACCATTTCATCTTCAAGTTCTGAGATTCTGTCTTCTGTTGTTCTATTCTGCTGGATTGGCCTTCCGTTTTGTTTTGCAGTTCTTTTGTTCTTTTTTCTGAGGTTTTCCATATCCTGGGAGTTTTCCTCTTTAATGTTGTCTTTTTTGTCCTGAGTTCAATTTATCCATTTATTCATTGGTTCTCCTCTTCACTTTGGTGTTTATACAGTGCTTCTATGGTTTTCCTTTATTCTTCTTTTGCTTTTTCAAATTCTCTATTTTTGGTTTGTCTTGGAATTTTCTTGAGTGTCTCCTGTACATTTTGGTTGACCTATCCAGTATCAGCCTATAAAATTCTCATTGGTACTTGTAGTCATGTCCTTTCTTTTTAAATTATTCTTGTGGGCTTCTATCTGGTCCTTTGGCATAGTTTTAATCTTATTTTGTTGGGAGTCTGGATCTGAAGTTTCCTGTTCTCTTCATCTCCCTCTGGTTCCTGTATAATTTTTTTGCTGTGGGGAAACGGTTTCCCTCGTTTTTTCTGTCCCTTCCGTCTTGTCGTTGGTTTGTTACTGTCCCTGTACTGTGGATGCAATTAAGTATTTCCTAGCTTGTAATAATAACAATGGTAATATTTAGAATGGAAGGGTGAGCTGAGATGGAAAGCAAGAAGTTAAAGAAAAGGGGAAAACAAATATACCGACCAAGAGGGAGAATAGAGAACAAAGTATCAGACAAGAGAGTTTCAAAGGTATAAACAGGGAGTGGTTATTGTACTAATTCGACAGTAAGCTGAACAGACATTAACGAGAGACATGAGATCTGAAAATCAAAGTATTATAAAAATAAAAAATAGTTAAATGAAAGAAATATCTATATATAAAAATGAAATTAAAATAAAAATGGAAAAATAGAAAATTAAAAAAAAAAAACAAAAAATTTCACACAAGTTTGTTATATGCAATGCAGTTTTCAGTCTTAATAAGTTTGGGTGTCCGTCTCAATTTCCAGTCCTGGATTGGTGCCTCAGATGTTGTTCTGTATGTTGTCCTCATAAAGGGGATGCATAAGTAGAACAAAACTACACACTACACACACACACACACACAGACACACCCACACACACACACACAACCACAACACCACAAAAATAAAACAACAACCACCAAGTGTCCCCAGTTCAAATGCATAATCAGTTTTCAGTAAGTTTTTCGGCTTGCAAATTCCAAGTTTATATGCAATGCAGTTTCAGTCTTAATAATTTGGGTGTCCGATAATTTCCAGTCTGGAGTTGGTGCTCAGATGTTGTTTCTGTAGTTGTCTCATTAAAGGGGATGCATAAGTAGAACAAAACACACATCACACACACACAACACACCACACACAACACACCACAACACACAAAAATAAAAAAACAAAAACCCACAAGTGGTCCCAGTTCAAAGCAATACAGTTTCAGTAAGTTTTTCGGCTTGCAGGTGTAATCGGTTGTTCTCTCATCAAGGTAGGGAGAAACAGAAAAAAAAGAGTCTGGAGACCATTCCTGAGAGTGGTATCTGCAACTGTGGCTTGCTGCCTGCTGCTTAGCCTGCTATAGCTGGCGGTGTTATTTATGCAGATCTCTGGTGAACTTAGCCACTCACCTGGTCCACAGGCTTGTTTGTTCGAGGTTCTGTGCGGGAGCTCTGCTACAGCTTTCCCTTTCTAAGCTGGGAAAGGTGAACTGCGTGCGTTGTCAGGCCTGCGTGTTATTTACAGTTCATGTGGGAGTGGGTTGCCCTCTCCTCGTGCATTTTCCTCCCATGCCACTTTCACAAGCTTTCTTCTCCTGATTACTGGGTGGTGCATGCTGCTCCTGCGGGCCATGTTTGTTTACAGTTCACGTGGAAGTGGGTCTTCCTCTCTCTGTGGGTTTTTCCTCGCCACTCTCAAAGCTTCCACTCTGGTTGCTGGCGCGCCCGCCTGACAGAGGTCTCCAGCCCGTCTGGCTTGTTTATTACCAGTCCGGGAAGGATTTCCCCAATCCTCAGCGCTCAGGGCGCCCACCCTCTTTCAGCGTGGTCTTAATTGTTCTTATGCTTATTACTCAGTTTTCTTTTTTTCCCTGGGTGGAGGTCAGATCTGTACAGGGGCTATGCTGCTCTGGCCCAGGCTTCTCTGTGGGAGAACTGGGTACCGTGAAGCTCACTGGTCGCGTCTTCCAGTGGGTGCCGGCCACTGGCCCGGGGGCCCTCCTCGTTCTCCATTAAACTGAAGTGGAGATTCTCTGTGCTGAGTGGAAGTGTGGAGGGTCAAAGTTTAATTTCTCAGTGGATTGCTGCAAAGTGTGTCTCAGAGTCTCTCAAGATTTCACTATATAGGTGCTCGCTTTCTGTTCCTATCTCTAGCTGCCATTTGGACTCCCTGTTGGGTATTTTCGAGATAGAGTCTTGTGAACTATTTGCCCAGGCTGGCTTCAAACTGTGATCCTCTTGACTTCTGCCTCCTGAGTAGCTAGGATTATAGATGTGAGCCACAGGTACCTGGCAGTTCTGGGGTTTGAACTCAGGGCCTCACAGTTGCTAGGCAAGCATTCTAACCGCTTGAGCCACTCCACCAGCCACAAGGCAAATTTTTTACCTAATACCATAATAAAATTATGATGGTGTAGAATAGTAATTCAGCACTAGAGGATGGATGC